CTCTCTCTCTCTCTCTGGTTACACTGCTAAGAAAATGGCCAGTATCTCAAGAAATGATGTGATGCGCCAACTTTAAACCTGATCACGCCGGTACTTACTTACCTGTGTTCACTTGTTTTTCATGCACTAAAGAAAAAACATTTACCCTATGACTTTAAATATTTTCGCTACTATTTTTGCCAAAAACACTTGAAAACTTAAAAAACGGTAACATTTGCAAACAAACAAACACACAAACAAACACAACTGCAAACAACCACTGCAACTGATCACTCTATATTTGATACCAATTTCTCAATGCACGTCTTTTTTCATCACCGCCATCATCAGCATTACTTTATCATCAACCCTAGATCATTTCCCTTTCCTTTTTTTATTATCAATCACCACACTGTCAATCATTATGCTCTCTTTTGTTCTTCTAATTCTTCTCTCTGTTTGATCTGACCTGTTATTATCAACAACTACTTTGTCAACTTTCATTTAAGCTATGAAAATTTCAAGGCTTGATAGTATCTCACTTTGCAACCTATTCTCTATTTATCATTTGCCCTATTAAACCCTCTGCTCTAACCTCCTTTATTTGATGTATTTTTTGTTCCTCGTTTGTCGTTATGTGATCCTAATTTCCTTTTTCTCTTTTTATCTTTATTTCTCCTTACTGAACTTTATTTGCATTTTTCTTTGCCCTGACCACTCACTCTTATATGAAACACGGAAACACACAAACAAAGTTTCAGTTGATGAAAACCTCACTCAAACACAGAAACCAAAATGAAAATGACACAATTTTTGTTTTTGTGCATTATTTTATTGTATCATCATTGCCATTAAACATTGGTCTAAACACACTACAGAAAGGGGTTTCTTTGGAATTAGTGGTGACTAGACAATCACTAAACAATTTAAAAACTAAACATCAAACAGGAGATAAAACTATTTTGTGCAGGTAATGGAATCAAAGTAAGTGAGTGAGTGTGTGAGAAAGAAAACAAGAAAGTGAAACAAATTTAAAAGAACTGTTTGCTTCCAATCGATTGCCACCTTTTCTGGCTGGTTTGCTTTGTTTTTTCTTTGTATGGCCACAGCCATTTACAGCCACAACTCAAAGCAGTTGAGAATGTCCTCGTCGTCCAGTAGTGTAAAGTGCGGCTCCAATAGGGCCAGCACCTGGTGGGCCAGGTCACTGTAGAACAGGGGGCCCTGTGGCCGACCAAGGAGAAACGCCTCCACAATGGTCTCTATGATGTTCAAAAAGAGACCAGTGTCGTGCTCCTTCACCTTTCCCAGCAGACGAAGGACGTTCATGAAAGATTGCCGTTCGATGGGCATTTCTTCTTCTTCCTTTATCTCGTCTTTTTTCTCCTTTTCTTCTTCCTTCTTCTTTCTCTCTTTCTCCATTTCCTCCTCTTTTTCCTCTTGCTCAAAAACGTAGCTTGGAAAGTCCTTTGGCGGCGTGGAAGTGGGCGGCGGAGGAGGCGGCGGCAGTGGCGGCGACCACGATCCACTTCGACCTCGGCATTCTCCTCCTAAATCCTTTTCCTCATCAACAGTGACGCTTTCATCGATACTTACCGTGCTGGCGTAAAAGTTGTCGTGTTCAGCCATCACCTTTCCAAGCGCTCCATGGAACAGTTGCTCGCCCGGAGGTGTTGGCACGTAGCAGCCCTCGTCAGCCTTTTCTTCATCTTTTGAAGTAGAAGCAGCAGCAACAGCATCATCTTTATCATCATCATCATCATCCGGCGAGCCCTTAGCTCCGGTGCAAGACGCCAGAAAGCGCACCTTCTTCGGAATGCTCAGCGTCAGCTTTCGGCACATGGGAAAGAAGTACTTCAGCGTACTGGAGGCGCCCTTCTCTCCGGCAAAGATCTCCTCCTGGCGGCGCTGGAAGGTCTCCAGGTCGACCTCTCCGCCGCGGTACTGCTCCATCAGCCGGCAGATGGCCTCGAATCGGGCCGGCGGCAGGGCGGACTGCATGCACTTCAGCTGCACCACCGAGGTGTCGATCAGCTGGCGGATATCCCCCAGAGTGGAGGTGCCATCTTTTCCCAGCAGAGCCTTGCTGCCGAAATGCTCGATGAAGTCGCGGTAGTGGTAGTCCACTAGGCGGTCGTGGTCATCGCCCAAGGCCAAGGTGTAGTCGCTCAGTTTTATGCCGAGGGAGGTAGAGCGAGGAGGCGGCGGCGGAGGCGGAAGATCATCCGGATAGGAGCCATCAACAGAGAATGAAGCTGTTGATGTTGATGCAGTAGCAGATTGGAGTTTGGCTGCCTTTGCTTTTGCTGCAGCTGCTGCCGCCGCCGCCGGTGTGCCCTCAATTGGAGTGGCCTTTAGGCGGATGTTCACCCACTTTTGCGGTTTCCCAGCTGTTTTGCCTGGTGATTCTAGTTCAGACTTACTGTTGTTGTCAAGGTTTTGCAGCTCCTCGATGAGGCCGAATCGGTGGGCGTACCCTTTAACGCCGAGCTCCTCTGGGATGTACTCCTCTGGGTCATTAGTTTTGTCAACTTGCTTCTTCTTCTTTGACTTCTTCTTCTTCTTCTTCTTTTCGGTTGTGGCAACGCTAGCGTGGACCGAGCTCTGAACGATGGACATCTTGCTGAATTGCGCCACGAGATCATCCTCCTCTGAGGTCTCATTTTCAACAGTCAGGCTGCTCTTCATCGCTCGGTAGAGCTTCTTCTCCTCGTCAGTCAAGGTGGCCGAAGTGGTCGGTCGATTGTTAGTGTTGGTGGGGGTGGTGGTGGTGGAAAAGGACATCTTTTCTCGTGTTTCACAAACAAGAAAAACCGCAGCGTGCCTTACTTTTGCCGCGTGCTGGCGTCAGAAGTGTCACAGTGAAAGTGAAACGAAGGGAAAGTGGAGAAGGCAAACGAATGCAGGTTGGCTGGCTGACTGGCTAGAGCCACGCAGACTTTGCCGCAAAGTCTTTGAGCTGAGTCCTCGTGCTGTTACAGTTACAGTCCCCGTTTTGCGTCAGCAAAAGCAGAAGAAGCGACCACAGCAGAAGCAGAAGCAGCAGCATCAGTCACAGCAGCCGCAGTTGTGATGTCATTGGGCAGTGCGAACGGATTCATGAGAACGGGGCAGTGGTTGGATGGCTGGTTGAATGGCTGGATCGCACAAGTGGAATGGTTGCGACAGCCGGCGCGCAGTCGCGCACCGGTCACAACGTGTGAAGGGGCTCACTTTGATTGGCTTGTTAGCCTGTCGCCTGCCCGCCTGCCTGCCTGTCTGCACACACTCACTTCCGCCACTGATCCACACAGGTTCGTTAGCAAAAAGCTGCTTGAAAAGAAAACGACCATCTCGTGTGCCTCCCGGCGACCCGATGCGCAAAAAAGGCCGATTCTAAAAACATCAAACACAAAAAGTGGTGCAAAAGATGAAATGCCCCGGTTAGACTGAATTTCAGGCAGTCCTGATTCGGCGCTTCCTTGGTCGCTGAAAAATGAATAAAGTGACGTGGTGGCATGAGAGTGGCTGCCGCTGCTGCTGTTCTTTTTCTTCTTTTTCCAGGAAGAGCAGGAGCAGAAAAGATCCAAACGCTTCCAGACATGATTCTGCAGCAGCGAAAGCTTAGGCATCATCGGTGAGATGCTGTACCAGAGATTTAGTGATGTGCTCCTGCCGTACACATTAAAACCGTGCTTGTGTGAAGCACCAGAAGTGCTCTTCACAATTTGATTAAAAGGGGAAAGGAGTGCGTGAGCAGGAGAGAGTGTTAAAAACTGCCAAGTGCCAAAGTCAGTGTCAGTGCCAGCGTGTGTTTGTGTGTGTGCTGCTAATTTAAATTTAAACTTTAATTTAATAGGCAAGAGAGAGAGAGAGAGAGAGAGAGTAGGAAAGATTGTCTAGAACGGTTGGAGGGAGCAGAAGAAAGATGACTTGACTTGACTTGACATTTGCTCTTAACTTTACTTTTGCTGGCGGTGAGAACATGACCACTTGCTATCACATTTGCTAGCTGTCGTGTGTGCCTTTGCTTTGAATTTGAGTTTGGTGTCATATTCAAACGGCCAATTCATTTTTCTCCCCTAGAATGCTTAATAAAAATAATAATTTTGAGTTGGGCAGTGATGGTGTACTTGGAAAACGGAAAGTTGATCCTATAGAGTCAAGTGGGGAAAGGGAGAAAAAGTGAGACAGAGAGTTGTGATAACTTTGGGAAAAACTGGGTTTAAATTAGGCAGAAAAGCAAATTGGAATATAGCGTAATTCCTCATGAGCCAGAAAATAATTAATTAGCCAATTAGATTTAGTTTATTTAGCGCCGAACACAATTTAGTTTGGTCCAGTGCCAAATTTTATTCTTAATTGCCATCTCAAACAAAATTTACTTTTATTGCTTTCTTTTTAATGTTGCTTAATATTCTAATCACTGCATCGACAAAATGAACCTGTGAGCAGTAGTGTGCTTTTACAATATTTGCCTTTCTAGTTAGCCAAAGTGAGCCTGAGGAGTAATTAAGGCACCGGGAGCTTTACTTTTGCGCATCTCAACAAAATTTTCATCAGTCTTTCCTTTCCTTGTTTTTCAAATGGCAAGGCTCTTATTTCTTAAGAAAAGGCCAGCACATTGGTGAAAGAGAAAGCTTAGACCAGACACCAATTTAGCTCGCCAGCTATGCATTGCCTTTTATGCAAATTGGAAGGCTCAAGAAAGGAGACGAGTGTAGGTTGGAAAATACTTTAGTTTATTGTAATGATTTAATTAGGTGTATGTACAAAGAGATAGAAAGAGTGAAATGATAATGATGACGACGATGAAGATGAATGCCTATTTGCTGGAGGTGTACTTGGTGACGGCCTTGGTGCCCTCGGAGACGGCGTGCTTGGCCAGCTCGCCGGGCAGCAACAGGCGAACGGCGGTCTGCACCTCTCGGCTGGTGATGGTGGTCCGTTTGTTGTAGTGCGACAGACGGGAGGCCTCGGCGGCGATGCGCTCGAAGATGTCATTCACGAAGGAGTTCATGATGGACATGGCTTTCGAGGAAACGCCGGTGTCGGGGTGTACCTGCTTGAGGACCTTGTAGATGTAGATGGCAAAGGACTCCTTGCGCTTGTGCTTGCGCTTCTTCTTGTCGGTGGCGCGGACGGCCTTCTGCGCCTTGCCCGACTTCTTGACGGCTTTTCCGGTGCTTGGAGGGGCCATGATGAATTGATTGGTTAGAGTGTGTGTTGAGTTTCTCCGAAGTGAGGGGCTGCAAGTGGTAGTAGTGGTGGTGGTGGTGGGGTAATTGACACCGGGTGTGCTCTGTTGCCGAGACTTATATACTCGCTACGGTGCTAATCTCCGGGGCATTGCCTGTGCAGCCAATAGCAGCCGGCCAACACCAGTGTCGCGCAAGCTGTTTGGCTACTCGAGCAAGCACTGCTCCCCGCCCTGAAGACATCAGTGCAGGCAGGAAAGTGCACATCACAGTTGGGGTACATTTTTTCCCCAATGGGGCAAACACTCTTTTACTGCTGTTAAAGCAACCGCCGCTGTCGCGCCAGTGCGCGCCATTTTTCCCTCTTGCGACTGCCGCCAATCCTGCCACTGCAAATCCCAGCGCAGCCTTCTCATTGGCCACCTGAGCAAGCTCTCCACCGAAATGGTATAAAAGCTCGAGCGCAACAGTCGTCACGGCACACACTCGCTCACTCACAGTAACAAGTTCCTTTCCGGCTTCAAGCTCACCCCACCACCACTTTACCCCTCAACTTCTCATCATGTCTGGCCGCGGCAAGGGAGGCAAGGTCAAGTCGAAGGCGAAGAGCCGCTCCTCGCGAGCCGGTCTCCAGTTTCCGGTGGGCCGAATTCACCGTCTGCTGCGNCCCTCAACTTCTCATCATGTCTGGCCGCGGCAAGGGAGGCAAGGTCAAGTCGAAGGCGAAGAGCCGCTCCTCGCGAGCCGGTCTCCAGTTTCCGGTGGGCCGAATTCACCGTCTGCTGCGCAAGGGCAACTACGCCGAACGAGTGGGAGCCGGTGCCCCCGTCTACCTGGCCGCCGTCCTCGAGTACCTCGCCGCTGAGGTGTTGGAGTTGGCCGGCAATGCCGCCCGCGACAACAAGAAGACCCGCATCATTCCCCGTCACCTGCAGCTGGCCATCCGCAACGACGAGGAGCTGAACAAGCTGCTCTCCGGTGTCACAATCGCCCAGGGCGGCGTCCTGCCCAACATCCAGGCCGTCCTGCTGCCGAAGAAGACCGAGAAGACTGCTTAAGCTGGCAATCACCACCATCATCATCACCACCACTACCATTTCCTAAACCAAACGGCCCTTTTCAGGGCCACTAATCACTGTATTGCTGAGCTGGGTATTTTATCATTCTGATCTCTGGTGGCTACTTTCTTTCCTCTTTCTTCTTCTACTTCTGATGATGATGAGTTCAATAAAATAATGAATTTGATACTGATAAACAGCAAGCTTTGGTTGTGTGCCTGAATTGTGTGTTGATTTGAGCTGACTTGGCAGAGCAAGGGTGTGTGCCTGTGTGTTTGCGACTGAGCAGTTTGGCCAGTAGCGGCAAATATGACACAGCAAACTTTGCCCTCGTTCGCAAACAACGTTTCCATTTGAAAGAAATGGTCAATTGTTGACACTGTGGTCACCTGTTTGTGATCAAGCTTGTGTTCACTTTTACGTTACTAAGATTACTTTGGCTAGTGTTCAGTTTCTGAAACTTTGGTCACCAAACACCAGAAACTGGCAAATTGCTCAAAAACTGGCAAAT